TAATATAGAATAAATAATTAAATTAACAATTTTTACCATATTATTATGATAAACATATTAATTTATATATATATATATATATATATATATATATATATATATATATATATATATATAACATACATTTTTAATAATTTTTCTATAAATAAATATGATACAGTCAATTTATTATGATAACACTGTATATAACGGTCCCATGATTCAAAAGGAAGTTTAAGCGAGGTCGCTTCCAAGCTTGCGTGGCTATGCGGTATGTGTATTCGACTTGCGTCCTCGAGGTCTAGGGTTCGGTCCCCCGTGCGTGCGATATTTTTCCGTCTTAGTTTTAAGTGTTTTGTGTATAATTCTTAATAATGTTACATAAAGTATAGGTTTAAATAATTATTAACAATAATAATAATTATAAATAATTATTAATTTAAATAAGATAGTCTGTCTAAATTAATGAAAGAAAATAAGAAAAATATTTTTTTTAAAAACTTAGTCCAATAAAAGCAATTCTAATAACTATTTACATTTTTAATGACACTCATAAAAGTTTATTTACTACAAAAATATTAATAATAATCATTAATATTGAAGTAAATACTCCCCATTCTTTAATAATCAAATAACAAGCTTTAATATAATAAAATGCAGTCAGTATTGGAATTCTACCTGGGTAGCGAAAAGATCGGGGGAAATCCCATGGCCCCGACCGGGTCCCGACAGGGCGGCCAGATCGGGCAAAGTGCCATGGCCCCGGTCGGTTTTAGTGTTTCAACCAGGCCGGGGCCAGGTCGGGTTGCCAGATCGGGGCCCGGTTTGTCCCGATCTGGCCCCGACCTGGCCCCGGTCAAAATTTCTGCACGGGTAATTTAACCAGAATTCTGGTTGTTTTAACTAGAATATCGTGTTAAATATACCCTAACCAGAATTTTTTTTCAGTGAATGCTTTATGAATCTATGCTTGTAAAACCTTCATTTTATATATGTATGTTATGATATATATATATATATATATCCCTATATTACAAAAATATATCGCTGTCGCCGCTGTCACCGCTGTTTCAAGATTCTGTAAGGGCGCCCTATCCCAAAGGGGCCGTCAAAACTTATGTCAAAATTGACCTATTTTTTGACCTATAGGTCAAAAAGAGGATAAATAACGGCCTCACATTACGTTAAAATATATGTCTAATTTGACCTATTTCTTGACCTGTAGGTCAAAAAGAGGATAAATAAAGACCTCACATTACGTTAATATAGGTCAATTTTGAGGGCAGTTTTGACCTAGACGTCAAAATTTGACAAACAATTTCCGCTACCCTCAAAATTTAGGTCAATTTTAAGGGCAATTTTGACCTACCCATCAAAAATTGACAAACAATTTCCGCTACCCTCAAAATTTAGGTCAATTTTAAGGGCAATTTTGACCTACCCATCAAAAATTGACAAACAATTTCCACTACCCTCGAAATTTAGGTCAATTTTGAGGGCAGTTTTGACCCAGATGTCAAAATTTGACAAAGAATTCCCGCTACCCTTAAAATTAAGGTCAATTTTGAGGGCAGTTTTGACCTAGACGTGAAAGTTTGACAAACAATTTCCGCTACCCTCAAAATTTAGGTCAATTTTGAGGGCAGTTTTGACCTACACATCAAAATTTGACAAAGAATTCCCGCTACCCTCAAAATTTAGGTCAAGTTTGAGGGCAGCTTTGACATAGACGTCAAAATTTGCAAATTTTGCAGACTTAATGATGAGGTGAAGTTTGGCATCTTACCTAACAATGTAAGGTAATTTTAAAATTGTGTTTGCTCTTACACCCATCATTTTGACCTAATTTTGACGTTTTATTTTTACTTCCTCATTTAGTTACGTCATAATCTATGTGTAATTTGACTTTTATTTAACTACAACTTAAAAAGGGACAATAAAGGACAATAAACGTATCTATGATACGTCAAAATCTATTTAAAATTTGACGCCTTTTTAACCTATAGGTTAAAATGGGTCAAAATATATGTCAAAGTTTAATCTAATTTTTGACATATATATAAAAAAGGTCCATAACGATTATTACATTACGTCAAAATCTATGTGTATTTTGTCATGTATTGTATGCAATTTATTAAGATGCATTGATATTAAGAAAAAATTACTTTAAATTTATAAAAATTAAAATTAATATAAAAATAGAGATAGGGGGTTGGCGCGCGAAGCGCGCAGGGGGGCCAAGCCCCCCTAGTATATATATATATATATATATATATATATATATATATATATATATATATATATATATATATATATATATCCCTAGGAACTTATTCTAAATAAAATAAAATAAATTTTCACGATTTTAAAATGTAAATAACTTCTGCCCAGAAAAATGAAAAATTACGAAAATTGGGCAATAATTAATTGATCACGAGATACAAACACTGAAAAAAGATTTTCTTTGGTCGCGAAGCTATTTTCCGAACTAATTAACTTTTAACTTTTTACAATTTTTATCAGGTTAATACATGTGTTTTTTAAAGGACGAAGTTAGCTCTTCTTCTTTAATTGTTTTGAACCAACTTCAGTTTTAAAAAAATCACATGTATTTTCATAATACACGGAGAAAAATGGAAAAATGATTTATGCAGTCAGTGTAGTACTCCTTTGTAGAATAATATGTGACAGGTACACACTATAGTATTAGAAGTTTCATAGCTGAACAGTTTGCGACTCAACACAAGTTATCCCATTCATCAGCTTAAACAAGACTGTTTATATAGTCTAAGAGGAATAAGAGTATAAAAAATTGGAATGAGAAATTACTTTCTCATGTAATTGTTAAAAAAACGCGGCAGTGTACAAAACACAAGTCAACAATAGAAGCGAATATTGAACAACTAGTACTCAGTCCAGTTCTTTCGAAAAATGAACGCCGTGCACATAAAGTAGATACCTAATCGAAAACCACAAGTTATTCTCTCTCTCTCACACTAATGGTCGTTCACTTATTTTACCGTTTCCCTTACTCTTACTACTCTCAACTATTATGCAGTGCAGTTAAGTTCATTAAATTATTAAATATTGCTGTGAGAATAATTAATTATACATTTCATTCAAGGTCAATTCACTATTTTGTACACGAAAAAAAAGAATAATGAAATTTACGATGAGGACTGTCAAACTTAAAAAAGGTTTCAAGGTTATTAAGAAAAAATTAATGTTTTTTATTTATTTATTATTAAATTCTAATAACCGTATCAAATTTAAACTAGTTGACAATATTATTTATTCAATATTATGAATATTGTTGACATCCATGCTTACATTAATTACAAAGTAAAATCCACGCATAATCTAATTTATTTCATTGGTAAGGGATGTTTCCTAAATAGGAAATTTCTCCCATCGATTGCGTAGGCGTAGCCGAGAGACTTAATGTAAAAGCGATTTATAATTATGCGTATACGAGAAAAGGGACCTTATGACAAGAGTAAATAAGGTCCTTTTTCTCGTGGAGCGTCACATATTTAGTTGTGTGGTTAGGTAGATGTTCAATCCCGTATGATTGTAAGATTTTCCGATGCATTTAGTTGTTAATTGTAAGTATGAAGATGTGGGAAGCATAAAACTTGTGAATTAAGGAATATGAATATATAAAGAGTGCATATAACATATTTTTCTTTTTTTTAATGATTGGTTATTGTTTTTTTATACAAAATTGACGAAGTGAATACAAGGAAACACTCGTTTCGCGTCGCGTCAGCCATTTATTTTGACAGGTTCCGCGCCTGCGTTCCTTTTTGTGAAAATTTCGAAGTAGGGGACTGTCTCTACTATGTACACTGCAGCGCGCCTTATAATCTTCGCCTGTGTTTCAATGCTCTTTACAGTGACATTTGGAACTAAGGCCTTCTATACACTATACGCAACACCCTAAGATGCTTGATGGAAATGAATTAATGTACTTTTACTGGACTGAGTCCAGTTTTTTCAATATTGACTCCCAGTTTTTCAAACTCTATTTTTCTCAGTGTAGAAATAGTGAAAAGTTTAAAATTAATTATTTCGAAAAATAGCTTCGGGACCAAAGAAAATTTTTTGCCAGTGAGTGTATCTATTGCTATTGATGAATTAATTATTGCCCAATTTTCGTAATTTTTTATTTTTCTGGGCACAAGTTATTTACATTTTAAAATCGTGAAAATAAGCAAAGTGCCAGTTTTAATTGCTTATTTTTTAACATTTGTGAAGAAAACAAGAAGAAAGTGTTAAGAAAAACTAAAAATTAATCACAGGTACTTTATATTTCATAAGGTTTTATTCAATTTAATGATTTCTCTTTCTCATATTTTGTAAATGAAATTTGCAAAAATAGGTTATTTGCCAGGTAAACTTTAAAATTACTTTTTATTTAATATTTCTTATTAATAATTGTTTCTATCAATTTATAATAATAAAACAATTCTTTATAAATTCTTATAATTTTTCACGTTTTTATAGTAAATTGTGTGTTTTCTTTAATATTTTTTAATAAATGAAAATGTGACAGTTTTACGACTTCCTATACTTTAGATGCTTGTTTTACAATAAATATAAAAAATGTTTAAAAAATTCTTTTTGTTCGGTGATCCTAATATCTTTAAAATCATTCCTGCAAAATATTACAATTTTTTAAAATTAGTCAGCAACGACTTTAGTCGAAATACAATAGAATGAATCTATATCTTTTTGAATTGACAGAAATATTTAAGAATGGCCCTGTAATAAGTAATTTTTTTATTCGTATACTGAGAGAAGAAAAGCACAGATTCTGAAATGGAAAAGTTTAGCGTCTGTACTCTAATTGAACGCAGCAGCAGTGCCACTGTGTGATAGGTGTCGTGCTAAAATGTGAAACGGATTTTGTCTTTGGCTTGAGGTACAGATGTTGTACTTCAAATGCTACTGTTTAGAAGTACAGTATCTGTCGGTCGCTATGAAACAGATCCTGTACTAATTAGTTCGTACCGCCGCCGCGCTGCTTGAGCATAGTATCTGAACTGATCTGAACTATGAATGACACCAACTGAATAAAATTAAGAAAGGGCACTGACAGGCATTTTACACGGCCGGTGTTTGTCACAGTACGGATTCTGTGCTTTTCTTCTCTTAGTGTAGCTTGTATAATAAATAGAATGGTTATTTAGATGAAACTAATCACTAATCACTAATAATTAACATTCTAACTAAATAAAATCAATGAATATAATATTGATACTCGTTTATAATTTCGTTAATATAATAAGTATAAGTATAACAATGTTCATATGTGATGTAAATACAGATCAATGCTACCGCTTCAAAACTTGGAAGAGGACAAAGAGGTTTAAAACCTCGGCATCGATGTACACCGTCTGAAAATGAACTTCAAATATTTTTACATAAGCAAAATAAGCGCCAAAGAATGGAAGAGAATGTAAGTAAAACAACGCAATATGAGTTTTTATTTTTAGTAATTTTCTTGAATTTAAATGTATAAAATTTGTACTTTTTCAAATGTCAAGTTAATTTTCATTTATGATTAATTAAAAATATTTATTATTTACATTAAGGATTAAAAATGTGGACATAAAAATAAAATATTTTATTTCTCTTATTTGTAGTTAAAAATTAATGTGGATGCAAATGTTGTGAACATCGGTAATGGAGATAATGACGACGATGATACATCAAACCCTGGATTGTCGAAAACACAGGAAATTGTGGATGATGAACAAGAGGATCCATTAAACGTGAATTTTCATTATTTCTTATTTAATTACTATGTTTCATTTTATGTCAATATCGAAGGAGTTTACATCGTAAGCCTGAAATATAAGCCTTCACGCACATAAACGGATATACCTCCAGGAGCATATATTTGCGCCTACGCGAACACGTGGTCAAGGCAAACTCTTTCACAACACAGCTGCAGGCAAACACTTTGCGCAGACGCGAGTATATTCTCGTGGAGGCATATCCGTTTATGCTCGCGGAGGCTTATATATTTAAGGCTTACGGTGTAAACTCCTTCATATATAATCAATTTTTTCGAAAGTTTACTTCTTCATAGATATGAATACAACATCGGTAGTAGGAATACAGAATACAGTAATTTTTCAAAATTTTCGTTTTTTCGTTCTAATTTTTTCAAAAATAGCTTTAAAAACTAAAATCACGTTTTGAGCTTGGAACATTTGTTTTTAAAGGCCAATTGAAAACTTTTGATTCACACTGACTGTATTGATAAAAAATTACGAAATATTTACCAAGTATGAGAACATACTTCGGGGGCCCTAAGCATTAGGCAGGAGTTACCAAAATATTTTTAAAATATTAATTTTTGTGTATTTGGCAGCTGCTTGAAGAAGAAAGTCGATTTTTAGGGCGAAAATTTTTCAAATATGTATTTCCAAAAATAAACAAACAAACCCAAAATATCCATTACGCACTCTAAAGCTTTAGTCTGCAATCTTAATGAATTCCTTTTCTACTGTTAAGTTGACCTGATCGAAGAATTTTCGTTGACTATTCTGTCAGATACAGAAAAATTACTGGATTTTGCATGCTTTTCGTAATTTTTTTAATTTCTCGAAAACTAATTAACTTTTTTTAGCGTTCTTGGTCTTGTTGCAATCTCTATGCAATGTAGAATCTAAATTAGTTAATGGTATTGTGATATATATTTTTCCAGAAAAATTTAAACTGTGAAATTTGGATAAACAAATTTTAAAAAACAGATTGACACTTTTTCAACAAAAAAATTTTTTTTTTAAATTAAATAATTAAGTAATTAAAAAAAGCTTTTTTGAATTTTAGTATATTAATTAAATAAAAATATTTTACATTGACCTTTTTGACACTTTAATACACCATTATTATTATAAATATTATTATAAATTCAAACTTATTAATTTAAAAAAACTATAGAAAACGAATGTAAATGTACTAGAAAATTGTGACACAACCACAATCTCTAAGATAACTGACAATCTTGTTTAATATGAAGTCGGCGATTAATAAAAAAAACAATGGAAAAAAGGTTTGTTGGAAAAAAAATAACTTGGAAAAAGTGTACGTTGGAAAAATAATAGATTGGAAAAAATAAACGTTGGTAAAATAATAGGTTGGGAATTTCAACTGGTGGGAAAAATGGATTGGGAAAAATGTCCACCACCGCAAAAAGGGATATATGCAGGTAACCGTGATTTTTTCTTTGCGATTGTGTAGACGAGAGACTTAGTGTAAAAGCGTACGATTTTAGGTTTGCAAAGTAGGTAGGGTATGTAAGTAGGCAAAGTATGTAAGTAGGTACACATGAAGAGTGTACGGATTACTACATTTTCGAGTAAAAATTTTTACGAAATAGTCATAACTGCTCTGATTCATAATAACACTTGTTTCACCTAAAGTATTAATTGCTCGAGACATTTTAAATATTACTTGGTTTTTAATAAAATTTATATTCCTTTTGAAGTAAATTATACTTTTTTTAAAAAGTAAAAATTCTTTGAAAACGAAGCAAAAGTTACTATTTCTTAAGCAGTTTCAAAATTACTATGCGATAGTAGTAATCTTTCATCAAAAGTAGTATAATTTATTATTACTATTTATTTTTCTCCGTGCTGATTTTTGTAGTTCGAGTAAAGGCGTCTTTTACTTTGCCAAGTAAAAGTGACAAGGTAAACGTCACCTTCACTCTTGCCTCAATGATCACTGTTTAAAAATGCTATCATTTGGTCTCTTGTTACATAATATTTCATTCTTTCGATAAGCTTGAAATAAATAGTATATTATTGTGGCAAGCACGTAAAGCAATACTTTGTATGTGAGGATGTAGTTTTCAATACGAGCTGACGAAGTCGATTTGAAGTCGCACAGACAGCGAGTATTAAAAGCATTCGAACCTAAAAATTGCTACGTAAGAGCAGCATCACTATTTTTTTCGCCATTGATATGAAAAAGTATAACATTTATACAAAAATTTATTATTATTTATTAGAGATGTGCAAAAAGCTCAAATTGCCGAGCCAAGTAGAAATTTTTTCGAGTCGAGCTGGCTCGATGTATCGAGTATTCGATTGAATTCGAGCTGTTAAATAACTAACAAAACTATTAATAAGTAGAAAATTTCGAATTTATGCGAATTACAGCTCGGCTCGAAAACTTGACTCGAGCTTAAACTGATTAGGCTTGGCTCGGCTCGAAAAAGCACGAGCTTCGAGGTTTTTGCACACCTCTATTATTTATACACGGAAAAAAATTTCCTGTGAAAATTACAAGATTTCCTGTGCCATCTATGAACGGCGGTTGTAGTATCCACAAACGGCTGAGTTTGGGAAATACACAAGCCAGAATGAGTCTTGTCACAAACTTCACTTTATGATTCAACAGCTTAAACAATCACGCAGCAGACGACAAGCAGACGTTCACTTGAATTTTTTTGCACATGCGTGGATTTCTTGGTGTTATTACAAATTGGTTTGTGGTACACCCAAACCAGCTTGTTGGAAACACAAAACTCGACTGCATAAAGCACAACTTAACCTATTTGTATATTTTACAAAAAAGTTTGTGTTTTCTATAAGAAATTTTTTTCCGTGTAATAAGAATTAATAAATTTAGTAAAGAAAAAAATTAATCAAAAATCAACTGTCTTAAAAAGTGCTACTTTATTTGCCCAAAACAGGTCCAAAAAGACACATTTTCATGTCAATGGCGAAAAAAATATATTTATACCCGTGAAGAAATTTAACCATGGCCCTAATCGGGGATAGATCTTTTGATCATTCTGTAGGCCATAACATGGCAATTTCTACACGGGTACATGAGCTACATTCTTATAATTGCAGGTTGTTAGTGTAGAGGCTGCGAAAACACAACAAAAGATCAATGAGAAGACCATGCAAGCAAGAGCTTTTAAAGTAAGTTCTATTTTGTTATTTAAATTGTTTGTACAAACTTAATCGAAATTTTTTCTAACTTTATATCTTACAGAAAATAGTAAAGAAGGCAAAGACAAATTTTAATGTTGAAATGGATATCAGACAACTGGGCGATACATCTAGTCGGGTAAATATTTTCGATATACATTTCACATTATATAGCATTATATCTATCTATTGTCAACGGTTTTAACCAATATATGTATAATAAACTTCTAAAATGGTATTATTTATAACAAACTAGAACCAAAAGGGCGCGCGTTGCGCGCCCACTCCTGGTCCTTTGACACACAAAATAAAACCTTAATGTAACCTTACATTAAATCTTAATTTAATAAAAACATATGTTTATATTTTAATAATTATTTTTCTGTTAATAAGATTGTTCAAAAAATCTTTAATTTTTTTAATCTAAGTTTGACGAATTGAATTTTCTATAAAAAATTACACGTTAATGCCTATAGAAATTCTCATTCTGGAGAAAAGCACCTTTAAAATAAGCCTAAAATCATTAAAAAGCATTCAGTATTTTAGAAGTCATTAAAATTTTTGTAAAACATTGAAAATTATCATTTTTTAAAAATGTCTAAATAAAATATTGATTAAATGACTTGAAAAATTATGTACAAACTCCAAGGATTAATTTAAAAAGAGAAAAATCAGTAACCTTCTATATTACAGAAATTGTGTAGATTTTTCTCCCAAAATACAGGCGAAATTTTTTTTAAATTAATACTTGGAGTTTTGCACATCAATACAGGGTAATTTAATTTTCCCAAAATATTGAGAACATTCTTGAATTTGCAATTGTTTTAAAGAATTGTTAATAACAATTTTAAAATTTCATTTTTTAACAATCCCTTTATTTTATCATTAAAGTATAGACTTTAAGCTTTAATTAAAAAAAATTACTTAATTATTACTTCCTCATAGAGGAAGTATTGTAATACCAAAATTCTTTGAGTTAGATTTTTTGATATATCTTTATGTTATTTGACCTCAGGAGTTGCGGACATAAAGTGAGCGTACTTTGTGATAGATTAATAAAGTTTAACTAAATTTTTTTTGGATTTTTAATTTTCCAAAAACACGTTTTTTGCCCATAACTTTAAAAAAATGTTAGGACACCTATAAATGTTTTTCCATAATTTTGTAGAGTTTTTTTAAACGCATCTTTTGAGTTCTAATTAAACATTTTTCGTCCATATTACCGGAGATATTAAACTTTTAAACATCATAAATTTTAGAAAAAAATATTTTTTTGAAAATTTTGTTAAAAAATGTAGAAGTAATCTTAAAATTATCGTTACCAACTTGTAGAGCATTATAAAAAGATTCGATTGACTTATTTTTAAACCTAATTCGATAATAAATTTCGAAATTATTGATATTTTAAAAACCAAAAATTGTGGAAAATGACATTTTCTCAACTTTTCTGTTTGAAAATTTTTGTTTAACTATTAAACTATTATAACTATATTGTAGAGTATTTAAAAATACATTGATTGACCTAAGATTCAATCACTTTTACCATATTTATAAAAAGTTATTCATATATTTTCCTATTATTATTATTATCTCTATGAGGAAGCAAAGTGTTCATGAAATGAGCGCACCAAAATTATAAAAAATATACAACTTGGAAGCGGTTTCTTTATTTGTTTCAAAGTAATAATAACATGAAAATAAAATGATCTAAAACTTTAACACCAAATTACTTTAACAATACAATTTTTTTTTTGAAAAAGTTTCCCTTATTGGAAAATTTTTTTTTTCCTTATTGGGTCAAAACCCATTATATTAAAACATCGAAGATGTTTTTGTTGGGATTAAATTATTCTCTAATTAATGATTTATTACCATTTATTAAATCAATTTTAATTAATTGTACACTATCTGCAAAAATTATGTATATGCTACATTTTAGTGCTATAAATAATTTTTTCATTTTGCAAAATGTATTAATTAACATTTTTCCCGTCTAAGACACTAAAACTCAATATAAGTATTCAAAAATTAAACTTAAAAGTAAAATTTAATTAACTTTCCAAAATCATTAAAAAATTTCTTGACTTTGTCTTGTTTAATAAAATTAATATAATTTTGGAAATACTTTACATGTTTTAATGTTCTTTGGATAAAGCTGAAATAAGCATTCAGTTTATTTTAATACAATTAATGTTAATAGTATTAATTAATGCTAATAGTATTTAACATTAAAATCTACAAGTAAATATGTAATTAAAAAAGCCAAACATGACAGAATTTTATGTATTATCCTAACTTCAATGCTTGGCCATTTCTAGTTAAAAAAGTATCAAGCTAAAACAAAAATTGTCTGTTTCAAAACATTTACAATATAAAATGTTTTTTGCCGTTTTTCGCGAATTTTTTTTTTAAAGTAAGAATTTTTTTGAATGAAATAAAACATTTCTACTATGTTGTTCATATATTTAACTGTAACTCATATTTTTTATCAGCGTTTATATAAAAAATCTTCCAAATTAGGAGCTATTGCATATAGAGCTGCTCCGCCGGAGTTCATGACTGCCGTGCAGTCCTGAGCCCACAAATTTTGTCCGAAAGCAAAAAATCAAGTTTATTCATATTTTATAAATATTTTATTATTAAGTGAACTAACTTTTAAGTGAAAATATTAAAAATTGACACTACTTTAAAAAAAAATTCGATTTTTTGCCTACTTTTTTGCAACTTTTTTATTTTAAAAAAGGTACTAAAAATTTTTTTTTCTTTTCAAGTTTAGTTCACTTAATAATAAATTTAATAACGAACAATTTCCAATTTTTCATTTTAAAATCGGTCAATAACTTTTTGAGCTACACTGCACGGCAATTTTAAAAATCCTGTTTTGAGAAAAACGCATTTAAAAAAATAGTATCAAAAATTGGTATTTAGGGGAGAGTCTCCAGTTGTGAGACACCTCCAGTTGTGAGACAGTCAATTTTTTTTAACATGCAATATTAAAAAGCCGATTGGTTTATATAAAAATATTTCTTTTTATATGAGCCAACTTTTTCGTGTACGCCGAAGCGGATATATAAACTGTTTTTGTTAAATACCAACACTGTGTATGATAATCGACTAAAAAGCGTTTTTTCAATAAAAGCAAAGTACTTTTTTTCCAAGTTAATTAATTGGAAAAGGTAAATGTAATGCATTTTCTTTTAGTGTTTTCCTTATATTTTGTGATGCAATATTGCATTGTTCCAATCTACGGTTAAAAATAATTTAATTTCCTTTTTTCAAAATAGCGCCAATTTCTGGGTGTGAGACACAGCATATCACCAGTTGTGAGACGGTGTCAACACCCATCTGCACTGAGAAAACTGGAGAGTCAAATTCAGAGGTTCAAAAAGTGTATGTTTCCTTTGCTTATGAAGAGAGTTAAATAGTCCTTCTAAAATAAATTTTGAATTGATAATGGAAATCTACTTGTATATTCTCTCCCATTATATCTGAGGGTTAAAAGTTGCGCAGAAAATGTGTACGATCTGATGCGCGCGAAATTATTTTTCTGACATTTTATGTATTTAATTTAGGGGTTAGGTTGCCATATTTATTCATTTCGCGCCGGATAAGGAAGGGATTTCTCAAGATGGTTAATTTGTCCCTCTGTTATAAACTCATTTTCCCTCCAAGAGAAATGGCACAAATATCTGTCAATGGTGTATTTGAACATTTAGATTGTTATCCAATAGCTAACTCTCAAATATGAACGATTTGTCCCTCCAGATGTTTAGTCCAATACTCCAGTTTTCTCAGTGTGGGCAGCATAAAAAATACGACTTTGCAGACATACTATTTAAATGTTGTTTTTATTTTTTTTTCTAGTATTTTTGGGCATGTCAAGTGGAAAAAAGTCAATTGATTCAGAAGAAATCAATTTAAATGCTCTTGTTGAAGCTATAAAATTGTGTTTATTTGATAGTCATATTTTGGCGAATAAATATAATTATTATAATGATTCTAAAACTGGCACCTTATTATTATGGCACCTGTTTATTACCTTCAAGACTCTAATTTTGAACTGAAATAAAAAATATTCTTTTTTTGTTTAAGACAACATAAACTTTTTTATAATAAAAAACTGGATACTGGTTTACGATTTATTAAAACAATATTAAACCATGTAAAGTATTTCTGAAATTATATTAATTTTTTAATAAAACAAGGCAAACTCAAGGACGAGATCAAGCATTTTTAAAATGATTCTAGAAAGTTATTTAAACTAGCTACATATACCTCACTCGCTAACGCTCGTTCGGTTGTAATTAAACTTATTTGTTTTTACTTATTTCTTTGTTTTTATTTATTTGTGCTAAGTAAATATTTACTGGATATAAATATTTTAATTTATAGTATCAAATATATAGTTATTTGTAGCAAATTCGAATTATTTGAGTCAAATAATTGGATCTAATAAATATTACTTTAAATCAGTTATAGGAAAATTACTTGATTCAATAATGCATGGTTTTTAATTCAAATAAATATTTATTTGCATCAATAAAATATTGTTTTTAAAATAACTAAATACTTATTTGTATCAAATATGCAATTATTCTTCATAATTTATTATGTTAATTCAGACTAATATACTTTTAATTGCTTTAAATATAGTCCAAATACTCAATTTATTTGCATCAAAACAAAGCAGTGTTAGATTCAAATAAATCTCAATTTGTATTAACCCTTTAACGCCCAAATGTGCTGATTTTTAACTTCAGTTTCAAGCTCATAATATTGAAAGAACAAAATTATTTAAAATTCTACAAGGACATATCCCTACGTTTTTAGGGTCGCTTTTTCGAATGGCATGGTCAAAAAAAGTGACTGATTACGAATCTGAAGTCAGATTTAAAAAATTCAAAATGGTAGATACAATATGGCGGACAATAAAATTAAAAATGCATAGTATTCGCTTCAAATTTGTTACTTGGGGGTTTTCGGGGTCGCTGATTACGAATCTGAAATCAGATTTTAAAAATTCAAAATGACGGATTCAATATAGCTGGATGATAAAATTAAAACTTTATCCTATTGGCTACAAAGACGTTATCGTATGTTCGAATATTTAACAGGGCATGAGCAGTTAATACGATGCATTTTTAATTTTGTGGTCCGCCATATTGAATCTGCCAATTTGAATTTTTTAAATCTGACTTCAAATTC